AGTGCCTCTCGACCAGTGAAGCACTCGTGATGCTGCTGTGAGGGACACTGCTCACCCCCAGTTTAAAGTGACCCAGAAAAGCTGAGTGTGGTGGCTAACGCCTATAACCCAAGAAGTCAGGAGGCTGAGGCAGGAGGATTGCCATAAGTTCCAGGCTAGCCTGGGCTACCTGTGAGCTCAAGGCCAGCATGTGCTATAGAATGAGAACCTGTCTTTTTTTTTTCCCCGTGTATGAGTGTCTTACCCTTGTATGTATGTAAGTGCACCCACGTGTGCAGTGCCCATGAAGAAAGGGCACTTTGCAGAAAATGGCTATTGGATCCCCCAGAACTGGAATTACAGACAGTTGTTAGCTGTTCTGTGGGTGCTGGGAACTGAACCTGTATCCTCTGGAAGAGCAGCCAGTGCTCTTAACTCCTGAGCCATCTCTCCAGCCCTGTCTTGAACATCCTTCTGCCAAAAGAAAAAAGAAGGATCCGGATCATTAAGAAACTTGCAGTGGTGGTGCATATCTTTAATCCCAGCACTCGGAAGCAGAGGCAGGCAGAATGAGTTAAATGCCATCCTGATATATATTGTTCCAGGCCAGTTGGGACATGAGACCCTGTGTCAAAAAAGCCTGTCCTGGTCTGTGGGCTGCTGGGCCTCTCAATACCAGAAACAACCCCACCCCACCACCCCACACACATACTTCCTCTGAGCTCCAGACTGATCTCAGGGGCCACCAACTGAGTGCCAGTGGAATCACGCTTCCTCATCCCAGGAACCCAAGTGATTCAGTCCACCAGTGGAAGGAGGCATGGCTTTGTTTTCCCATCGGGCAGCCACTCCCAGAGATGTAAATGAGGCTCCTAGAAGAAGCTGGATGAGAACTGGCTGAGAGGTGGGGCTCCATCACCCCACCCACCTACTTCAAGGGCTGGGAAGAGAAGAGTGTCAGTGACTGAGGCCCTGCCTGGGAGAATAAGCATTGATGTGACAGGAAAATAAACACGTTCTAATGCTAGGAAACACATACAAGTGCATTTAAGGTGTCAGTAAGTGGGGGCCGGAGAGACGGCCCAGCTGTTAAAAGCACTGGATGCTCTTTCAGAGGACCCGGGTTTGATTCCCATCATCCACATGATGATTAACTTCTGATCTCTAAAGACACTGCACAACACAGGCGCACTTACACACATGCATGCAATACACTCATACACATAATTTAAAAGAAGGCATCAGTCAGCGATGGGCAGGAAGCATGGAGTATATAGGCTACTCAGAAACTATACAGTTATGGGATTGAATGGACTAGGCTCTGGCCCTCAACTTTGTTTTTGAGACAGGATTTCACTATGTAGACCAGACTGGCCTCCAGGTAAGAGATCACCCTGCCTCTGCCTCCCAAGTTTTGGGATTAAAGGTGTGCACCACTATGCCTGGCCATCATCCTGGTTTTTTTGTGTACTTTTGCAGTACTGGGGATTCAACCAAGGTCCTCAAGTGCTCAGCTGCTGAGCTCTATTC